AAGAGACCTAAGTACCATGAAAGTATTTGCCTATCAAAGTAAGCACCCTCCCCATCTCTTTGAATATATTAGGGTCATAAATGGGTGTGACAATAATCTCTTGACCATCTAATACGAATAAGATTGATTTTTTGGGATCATAGTGTAGATTGTGGTTTTTGGATTAAGTAAAATATGTATCATATATTAATTACATAAAATAGAATTTTGAAAATATTTTATAAAAATAATATAATAAAATCATTTTTGTAAGAATATGTATCACTTTTTATTAAATATGGATAAAGTTTACCAATTTTAATAAAAAAAGTTAAAAATAAGCAAATACTAAAGAACAAAAGGAGTAAATCATTTTCAAAATAAAACTTGAATCCTGCACCATTCAAAGGAACATTAAACAAATTATTGATGATGTTAGTGTTATCAGTTTTTTTATGTAAATAGGATTTACTTAATATGGACGAGAATTGTCATAGACATTGTTAATGGGTTCGGAGGTGCGGAGTGCACACTTGTTCAACGATATTAAAATTTTTATAGCAGGGGTCTGGGGACAGAAGCCCCCGGGAACAGGGTCCAAGGAGTGGCAGCACCTGGCAGGGTCCAAGGGGCAGGGCCTCTAGCTGAGGTCAAGCTTTATGAAACCAATTGGATTTTCATATATGGAGGTTCAAAATAATGAACATTGGAACAAATCAATACATTCAAATGTTATATTTATCCAGAGCATCGTGCGTGAAATTGTTCGATACATTCGAATGTCTAAACCGAAATGTTTGAATGTTTCGCAACAAGTTGCAACAGTTCGTGCTTAACTACAGAAGTAACTGTTCAAACTAATCTGTCATCGAATGTTACTCGAAAGTTGGTTATTTCATCAACCAACGTGCCCGTTCAAAAAATTTGCCCATAAAGACAAGGCGCAGGGTATGTTTCGAGATACTGGAATTTCATACTCGTTCTACATTACTTACATCTTATCCGATTGAACTATTTTGGTATACCCCGAAATAACTTTAATTTGAAAGCATTTATACGTGATTCGCTAAGTCGATCAAGTCGTCTTTTACGTTCTTTGTATACCAATCCTACAATGCTACTCCTCAACGTTGTTGCTCCTCCCAATTCCCCAACAAAAGCAAGATGGAAGAGGCACCATGACCATATCATTAAAGCTACTTCATAATTATTAAATAGAATATCCTTAAATGTGGCTATGGGATATAAATACATTACATTGATGGTTTTCAAGGCTTTTGAGTGCAGTTAGAGCAGTTGATTATCGACTATCACTAAGGGAGAATTGACAAATTATAGTTCACTCAATTGCTTCTAAAAAACAAACACATTTTAGGTTAGAAATTTTGTATCAGTAGCTATCCTGGAGGGCTTTGGTTAGTCCTCCCCTATTATACAATGAAAATAAGGTTGTAGAATAACTTTTCATTTTTTTCTAAGATATAATCGCATTCATAAATTTCCTTTTGGAATCATATGAGGCCAAATAGCACCAGTACCCCTCGTGGTTTGCAAAATAGGCACCAATACCCCTCTGTTCTCAAAACTTATTTCCAAAGTCCATGTGATTTCAAAATGCTGCACCCGTGCCTCCTCTGATCATTTTCCGGCCATTTTCCCGGTGAAAAAGAGGGGCATTGGTGCATATTTTTTAAACCATAGGTGGTATCAATGCTGATTTTTATTTCTCACTTATTTTTTGTTTTTTCCATTTTGTCCTTTTCTTGTTTCATTTATTAATATAGGTTTTTTAAAATTATTTTTATAATGTTCTTAAAATATAAAGTTATTTTTGTTTGAAAAAATTAACATATAATGCATATGTACGTCTCTAGTTAACAATTTTTTTTTTTTGTGAAAAAAGTAAATCTTTTTTTAGAATTTCAAAAAAATGAGGAATAAAATAGGAAAAAAATTATATTAAAACAAAAATGTATATCCTTTTTTTTACATCTCAATTCTAAGGACTTTTTTAGGTGTGTCTAATTTGTTTTTTGTATAAGACTTTTTTTTGCGTATTTTAATTTTTTCATTTTGTTTTTCCATATTTTAATTTTTTTTTATTCAGGGTTTTTTTTAACTTTCCAAAAATTATTCTAAGTAACAAAAAGTGAAAATATTTAATTTGAGATATATGTAATGTATGTTAGTTTTTTTATTTTTATTTTTATTCCAAACACAAAGAATTTTAAAAATTTTAAAACATTATAAAAAATTGAAAATATATTTTTTTTTAAAATTCTAGGAAAAAGAAAAGAGATAGAAAATTTTTTAAAAAAGGGAAAACACAAATAATAAACGAAAATAAGAAATGAGCACGAATGTCCCTATGTTTTAGAAATCATGCGCCAATATCCCCTCTTCGCCGGAAAATGGCTGGAAAATGATCAGAGGGGGTTAGGGTGCAACGTTTTAAAGCCACAGGGACTTTAGAAATAAGTTTTGAAAGCAGGGGGGTATTGGTGCCAATTTTCCAAACCATAGGGGGCACCAGAGCTATTTGGTCAATCATATGACTCTAATATTTTTATTTTATCAACATTTTTTTTGAATTATTCTCATCATAGAGCCAAAGATTCACTATTTGTGGCTTAGGAGTACAATGAAATAAAGCAAAATGACTCTTTAAGCAATGTGCTCTTCTTTTAATAGTGAAGTAACTAGTCAATACAACTTTCAACAGGCATCATGGGTCATCGAGAAACACACACTCTATGTTTTTTAAACATAGAATTCAAGTTGTGTAGTAAGATCTACTTGCGCATTCACCCACCCCAGACCCTATTTAGTGGGATTCAACTAGATTGTTTTTTAAATTAATGATAAGGAGAAGAATGATTGTAGTTCTAACATTTTTTAAATTAATATTTTCTTGTCACTAGATTGCCAATACATGTTTTTATTTCATGTGGAATACCATACATATGATATTTGGACATGTAAATGATAATAATCACTCGGGATATGCTAGGGGTACACCAAAGGTGTACCCCAAATGTACACCACTTGCCTCTACACCATTCATTTTATTTTCTTTTTATTTTTTACTTTTTTTAAAATTTTCTTGCCTTTTTTGTGTGGTGATGGAGGGGGTGGGGATGTTTGGGGTACACTTTTAGTGTACCCCTAGCATTTTCCTAATCACAAATTAAATGGAATAATATACACATATGATATTTGAACATGGAAATGATAATAATCTCAAATTAACTACTGTGGATCACACAGGCCGGATCACACAGTGTGGATCACACAAGCTGGAAACTAGTTGCTGGAAGTTCGTGATCACTCTTGGTGCTTGAGCTGGGGGTCTCTTTGAAAAGAGCCCATTTACTTACGATATAAGTTCTACTTGCGCATTCACCCACCCCAAACCATATTTTGTGGGATTCAACTAGATTGTTTTTTAAATTAATGATAAGGAAAAGAATGATTGTAGTTCTAATATTTTTTAAATTAATATTTTCTAGTCACAAGATTGCTAATCCATGTTTTTATTTCATGTGGAATAACACATACAGTATATGATATTTGAACCATGGTTGTCAAGTCGTCGCCTAAGCCACGACTAGTCGCCGACTAGTCGTCCGGGCGGTTTTGCATCTGCGCTTTGCTCTTCGACTAGCGCCTAGGGTAGCCTAGGCGAAAAAGCGTGCAAAGCGACGCTTAGTCGCGCGTAGGCGATGCCTAGTCGGTGAATAAAACTGCCCAATTTGACCTAACCCAATTGAACCGGCCCGACCCAACCCGACCCGACCCAAATTTCATTAATTTTTAAAATTTTCAATAAAACCTGGCCTCCTTCGATGCAATCCATCATCGACAGTCAATCGCGACTCTCCTCCATCAGCGACTTCATCCACTTCCAGCACTTCCGTGAATTCCAGCGACTCTCCTCCAGGCGGCTCCATTAGCGACTCTCGGTAAGATTTCTGAATGTTTACTTTGTTATCACTAAAGTGTACTCTTTATTTGATTTTATTTTCATTGATTTGGTTCATTAAACTATAAAGTATACTATACTTTAAAATTTTTCAGTTTTTTTTCTGATTTCAGTTAATATTTTGTTTTTTTTCTTATTCTAGTATTTTAGTATTTCAGTTTTTTATTTTCAGTTTAATATTTCAACTTTTTAATTTCAGTTAATATTTTGATTTTTTTCTTATTCTAGTATTTTATTATTTCAGTTTTTATTTTCAGTTTAATATTTTAGTTTTTTCTGATTTCAGTTAATATTCTGTTTTTTTTTCTTATTTTAGTATTTCAGTTTTTTATTTTCAGTTTAATATTTCAGTTTTTTCTGATTTCAGTTAATATTTTGGTTTTGTATTTCTTATTTAAATATTTTTAGGGTTCCAGGCTCTTGTTTTTGTATAGTTGCTGGAATGTCATATTCATCAACTTAATTTAATATTTATTTCAAAACAAATGGAAGATAATAATATCCGCGACTACGACGACGATCTATCCAAGGATTCCAAACGAAAAGCCAGCTCTAATGATCCCGAATGGAAATATGGGTTTTGGCCAAATATGAACAACAAAAATCTTGTGGAGTGTACATTATGCCACAAACAAATAAAGTCTGTGGTATTTTGTCATATAAATAAATAAATAAATAAATAAATAAATAAATAAATATGTGTGTGTGTGTGTGCTCGTGTGTGTTCACGTTGAGTTAATGTAGATATATATAATGTTAAAAATTTCAATACTAATTGTGATTTATCGACTAGTCTACGACTAGTCGCCTAGTCCACTAGTCTCCCCGTCACCGACTCGACTCGCCTTGTCGACTTAACAACCATGATTTGAACATGTAAATGATAATAATCACAAATTAAATGGAATAATATACACATGATATTTGGACATGGAAATGATAATAATCTCAAATTAACTACTATGGATCACACAGGCCGGAAACTAGTTGCTGGAAGTTACATTGGAGGAACAAAAGAAATCATGTACTTGCCTCATAAGTAAAAGATTAATCCCTCGAAATCCTTTTACAAACTGAAATTGCCCAAAATGCCAGCAAAGTTCATAAATCAACAAGGGTTAAGAACTCACCACTTTTAGGCCAACATAAGATAGAGATTTAGAAGCATTTACATCTTTCATGTCTCAAAAACAACCACATAAATTTAGGAGTAGATGGATATCTATTTCTGGATAGGATATATGATGTTGGAATAGTGCCCAAAAAAAACCACATCACACATGAAGTTACCATCTACAATGATGAGCCATTTTCAGTTCAAAAGAGCATCATCACCATTAACTAACCGAACCAAAACATCAAAAGAAGCAAAAGAGAAACTAGCATCCAACTTAAAGCATCTAGCCTAAAGAGCATGAGGAGCCATGCTTTTTAGTCAATGAGCACAACACCATTGAGTTTAGTCTTCATCAATGCCTAATATCATGCTCGACAACAAAAAAAGAAATACACGAAGCCATCTACAGAGTTACCTCTTCGCCACGCACCAACCTAGCCTGCAGTGAAACCAAATCTGCAATCATCCCACCAAGTTTAGAATATTCTTCCCACACATTGACCCATTTCTTCTCAAGCTTCTCCACCACAGAACAATCAAGCAGAGTAGCCTTTTCCTTCCATCTACCCAGTGCCTCCTCGGGTGTCAATGGATAGTATTTCGCAGTGAAAGAATTGAGGAAATGAGGGTATTTGGACAGGAAATCCGGCCCTCCCTTCTCCCTTTCAACTTCAGCTACACCATTCATAGCAACCAGTTTGCCGTTTCCCTTTCCATCTGTCTGGTCATTTCCCCCCTCAACTGCTGTGGTCTGAGTATCCTCCCTCTCAACAGCAGTGGTCTGAACATCTTTAGTAGCAGCAGTATGAGGTTCGTCTTGAGCAGTCTTCTGCTTCTTCTTTTTCTTCTCCACATTTTCTTCATCTTTACGTGCCTTTCTCTTCTCTTCTTTCTTCTTCACACTCACATCTTTGGGTGAATCCAAGGGGGCCTCAACAGTCTTTTTATTAGAACCACTCGTATTTTTAACCTCCAGAGGCCTTTTCCCCTTTCCACCATTCTGTCCAGGTCCCCAGATCTCTTTTGCAAGTGAAAAGATCTCAGCATCAGTAGGATTAGGAGAAGAAGAGGCATTCCCTTTTTGACAATGGTTCAAGAACTTAATCTTTAGCCTCCTAATTTTCTCTTTCACTTGTGCTTTTGAAACAGCAACATGTAATGCATCCTTGACAAAATCATAAAAACCAGAGATATCTGAATAAGGGTCAGCCCCTTTTTGGGACTGGTATGCAATCATACCTTGGAGAAGTGCAATCTGATCATGGTCACTGAAAATTCTGTTTCCCAGAGACTTTTTCTCCTGTGGTTTAGGAGGACTGTCCTCCTTCTTGTTTTTCTTCTTCTTCTTCCCAACATCGTCCAAAGTGGGCTTCGGAGATGACTCGGGCGCCTTCTGGTAGAGAATGGGTTTTATGGTGAATTCATTCCCGGATTCGGAGTCGGTTTCCGATTCAGAAGAGGATTCAGGTTTCTGGACTTCCTTTGGCTTCGGAATCGTCGCCGGAGACGATTGGGTTTGGGGGTTTTCCTCTTCCTCTCCTTCGGATTCCGACTCTTCTTCTTCATCTTCTCCATTTCCTTCCAACACTTGCTGCTCTTCTTCTTCTCCTTCTTCAAAAGACGTCTCATCGTCGTCTTCGTCGAAAGACGAATCTGAGGGAGGCTGGACCACAACACGAGTTCCGGATCTAGACATGGATTCAGCGAGTTAGGGTTTTCGTTTCGGAGGGAGGCTGGACTCCCTGGGTTCACCTCACTACTATTTATACACAACCATTTTTCTTTGTTTCAAGCCCAAAGCGGTCAAAAATAAAACTTCTATACAATTTTTTAGGTGCTGAAAAATCAATTTAATTTTTTTGGATATCCAATGTAATATCTTGATCATTAATATTTATATTCACATATAGACATACTCCTTTCATTCTGGAATTGTCTTCTCGGTTTTACATGACATGATTTTCAGACAACCCAAAAACAAAAGAAGAAAAAAATTATGGGACGGAGGTGATTTTAAAAAAAATTAAATATTTCAAAACTATGTTTGAAAAAAAACTATTGATAGTTCATCTGTCCCTTAACGAATTACTTTCTTTGATCAACGTGCAAAATTACGTAATTTTTAAAATTATTTTATTATAAATTGGTAAAAAATAAAAAATAAAAATTTTATATATAAAAACTCTACAAAACAAGAGATGACAAGAATATATATTTCATTTTATGAAATGATCAATGAATACATGCAAACAAATAAAACTTATCCAGGGACCATAATTTTAAGGAGATAATTCTTTCAGGGACGGAAGAAGTATTATATTTATATCAAAATCCAATGTATTTTTTCTCCATAACAAGGTAAAAGTTTACAAACTTTGATTAAAAAAATCAAATGATAAGATTCTTCTCAAACAAATGGAGTAAATTATACTTTGAGTACAACAATCAACAACAACCTAGTTGGATCCCGAAATAGAAATTTCTACTTAAATTATACCCTGAGTATTAGAACAAAAAGTTCTAAATTAAATTTATCCTATACGATGAGTTCAAATCATGTAGTATTTGTTTAATTAAATATAGATATTCATCTAACTTAATTGCAAAAAAATCAAATAAAATAGATCCACTAATGATTTGTTTGGATGAGAAGAGAAAAATATAGAGAAAAGAATAGGTATTTTGATTGATAGAAAATGATAAGAAAATAAAAAGAGAAGAGATAAAAATAATGGAAAAATAAGAATTTTGTGATTGGAAGTGTAACGTCTTTTTTAAAAGGCAGGTTGGTCGGGCCGAACGGGCCGAACCTTGTTTGCACAGGTCTAAATGAAAGTTAATATTATGCTATCATTAAAATATAGAGTTGGACTATTAACTCCAAAAAGGTTAGTGGAACTTTTTTCAGAACAAAACTAAACCAAAATGAAACTAATTGAAATAAATACTCCCTCCGTCCCATTCTATTTGTCCACTTACCTTTTGGCACACCATCCAATGCACTTTTTAAATCCATTTTATCTTGTAATTTGTATATTAAAAAATTATAAAAATTATATATTAATAATCTATATGTTAAGACGAATCAAACAAGATCATATATGACTATTTTTAGGCTTACACATTGAGAGAATTTGAAGAGTCAAAGTACTTAGATAAACAGTTCTAAAAGTCAAAAGTGGACAAAGACAATGGGACGAAGATAGTATATTACTTGTAGGATAAATCATCATTTAATATACAAAGGCAAAAGGTTATTGAACGGTACATTTTCCCTCCTAAGACTTGGGGTTTGAGTTTGGGTAAAAGAGTTATTGGACAACGGGTATGGGCAGATATGGGTCAAATAAAATTAAGTTTATTTTTAAAATTTAGTCTTGATATATCAAATTTTTATTACATCTACTAATATCTTTAGATTTATAAATACAAAGATAAAAGATAAATTCATTTAGTGTAATGCTCCAATTGAATATAATTTGGTAAAATTTGTGTGAAATTAGGCGAAATTAAATGAATTTTATTCAATAGTACTCCTAAAAGTTGATAGAATTGAATGAGTTTCATACAGTTGAGTGCAAAGTTTATAAAATATTTGAATATATTGGGAGAAATTAGATAAAATTAAATTCAATAGAGTCAAGTATTATTAATTTTACACCTAAATTTAATGGTGTATATTAAATTTGAAATTATAACACTAAACGCTATTGCTACAGAGCTTTTGCAAAATGCTAACGCTATCCTCTAATGTTATTGAGTAATATTGAGTCAATTGGTTTTGAAAGTAATTAAATTAACTCCCAAACAAATAAAATTTATTGTGATTGGATGAAATTAGGATAAAATCAAGTTTTTCCACATAGTTCATCATATAATCCTTCCGTTCTAAAAAGAATATCAGACTTCACGATTTAAAAATTATGGAAATGTTATTTATTTGGCCGTTTTCATTGATTATTTGATAAAATAAACTATTATTGTTATAACCTCTTATTTTGTAAAACTTTTGATGTATTTTTTAAATATGAAAAAAAAAATTTGTTTCTATACCAATCTTTAAATAAAATAAATTTAAAAACTTAAAATTAGTTTTGCTTTATGTAGCATTCTTTATGAAATGGAAAGAGTTTTTCTTTTTCAAAATAAGATTATTTTAATTGGATTTTGTAACTTGATGGATTAAGGATTTTTGTACCATGTGGTCGGCGGGTTCGGGTCCCACGGTCGGCGGGGGAGGCCAAGGCCATCTTCCTACACGTTTCACTACTATTCTTCATTCTTCTTCTTATTTTAGCTTGGAACTTCATTAATGGCTCTAAGCTCCTACAATAATGTATATGTAAATTCCCCCGAGATTAATAAAAGTTCCTCCTCTTTGGCATGGCACCGCCTAAAATGGCCCGTGGTTTTCTCCCGATTTGGGTTTCCACGTATAAATACTTTCTCCACGCTTTATTTATTTATTTATTTTCCGAATTTTGCTATTCGGTGCGGTGCCGACCCGGTACCGAGTTCATCGGGTCGACGTCCTGAAAAAGCGGTTTCCATCACTGGCGCCATCCGTGGGACCCGTCACAAAAAGCTTTTGTGCTCCGAGTCCGTAATGGAGAAAAAAAAGTGGGTTGAGAAAGTAAAAAAAAAAAAGACAACAAAAAAGAGGGAGAGAGAGAGGTTGAAGGGAAAAGGGCAGAAGAGAAAAAACAAACTCCCTACTCTTCTGCATCATGTTGATTGACCGCCCAGATCTGGAGAAGCCATTTTGAGACATTGGACAACGGCGGGTCCTTTTCGGCGAGCCTTCCAGTGCGGCTCACTTCCGGCGAGAAGCGGGGAGCTCCGCCTGGCCTTGGGCGACCATGGAGAGCAGCCACCAGCCCTCGGCAGAGCCACCTTCTCGACGGACGGCAACGGCGGGCCTCTGGCGAGCTCCACTTCTTCCGGCAAGACACGGACAGCGGCAGTGGCCATCCGACAAGCTCCCACTTATTCAGGCGAGCCACGGACAGCAGCGGCGGCACTCCGACGAGCTCCCACTTCCTCTGGCGGTCCTCTCCGTCGGTCCGGTCATCCCCGACAAACCTCTCCGGCGAGCCACTCTTTCCGTTGGTCCACAACCACGTCCAACGAGCCTCTCCTCCTTCCTCCGGCAAACCACGAAGAACAGCGGGATCTTCTCGGCGGATGGCGAGCTAGAGTCCGGACCACCAGCGAGCCAGTGTGAAGAACAACGGGGATTTTCCCGGCGAGCACGCGGTAGGGCTGCCGGCAGTACCCTCCACCAGGGTCGGTGAGCATCCTCCCAGACCGGCGAGCCCTCTAGCGTGCTTCACCTCCGACGGATCCAGTGGCGAGCCATACCACTAGTAATTGTCCACTCCGGTGAAACTTGGCCCGGAAGAAGCGAGCTCCCACTTCCTCCGGTGAGCCACGGACAGCAGCAGCGGCCCTCTGACGAGCTCCCACTCTTCCGGCGAGCCGCGAATGGCAGCGGCCGCGATTGCCCTAGTTCGTCCATCAAGCTCCATCTGCTCCGGCAAGCCTCATCGA